TAAAATGAAACAAAGGTTTTGTGGTTATAAAAAAGAAAATTCTTCTATCGATTATTTAAATAACATTTATTATCTCTCCGTGTTTTATATATTTATTAGAAATATTCTGGAATAAATGAATATTCAAAATTAAAATTCATTCTTCACGCCCCGAAATATGTTCAATTTAATGATATGTTACATGATATGTTTTTAGAATATAAGTTGTAAAAAAACAAACAAAAAAAAGAGAAAATAAGATAAAAAAAATAGAAAATAAACAAAATAATATATTCGTCATAAATATTAACGGCCTTTCGATAATAAAATTTTACACAAATTTATAAAAAATTTATTAAAGTTTAATTTAAAAAAGCAAAAGAATAATAATTATTATTATTATTGTTATTATTATAATTATAATTAAAAACAAAAAAGAAGGAACGCGGAGGAAGCATTTTAATAACTAATTACGTTGATAAAGTATAAATCCGATTTTCTTTTATCCATCGAACGATCCGCCATATTGCGACATTAAATATACACAGTGGGTCGAAAATAATCGGATAAATTTTTTCGTTTCTAGATTTATCAAGGTTACACCCGTTTGGCTTGTAATATTAAACAATATATGAAAAAAAAAAAGAATAATTAATCGATTTTAACAATCAATTCAAAATATTTGGCTCACACCTACCTTAATAAATAAATAAATAAATAAATAAATAAATAAACGATAGTCGAATAATCGTGGAATGTTCGTTGGAAAAACATTAAATGCAGAAAATAAAATGAATCGATTAAAAGAAATCGTGGGAAATTACGAGTAACACGCTACGTTTCCTATTTTTCTACCCACCCCCACGCATACCCACACAAACACATACTAATCCATAGAAGTAAACTCATTGACACTGATACACACGTACGTTTACGTATTTACACGCACAAACCAACACTAAGCCGTTCTTCCTTCTAAGCATGGGAAACTCGAGATTGGCCTTTCGGCTTAAGGTTTAATCGACCAAGTGTTTTTTAGGTAAACGCGCACGTAAACTCTTCTTTGCGTAACAGAAATCAATCCACCATTTTGCTTTTGTTTCGTGTGTGTGTGTGTGTGTTTTTTTTATTTATTCCTTGTCTCTTCTTCCTTTGCTCTCTTTTCGAAATCGTGTTTTTCTTTTTTCTTTTTTCTTTATTATTATTATTATTATTATTATTATAATAATTAATTAATTAATTATTAAAATAAAAAGATTTATTAACAATACCAATTCTCGAAAGATATCCAATAATTTGTAAACTTTCGTTATACTTTGTAGAAAAACCATTTAAGGGCATACCCATACTCAACCTGCCACCCCTGCCCCCTTTCTCCCATAAGGTCCGGTCACGAATTAATTTTTTGTTTCTTTTCTGCTTCTCTTTCTTACGTTTCATAATTTTTTGTTCTCATTGGTAATCAGAATTGAATTACCGGTTACTTATCCACCCCCAATCCTCCCCCCTCCCCCGCTAACCAACCATAACAACGAAAGTTTCAAATACGTCTATTGTTTTATCCAGGTCCGATAATTTCCTTGTTGATTTTTGTTTTCGGTCATAGTTTTGCGCAATCGGCGCCAATGTGTGCTCGGACCCGCCGGATGGTTAAAAACAAAGTTTCTCGAGTAGCCCTGTATTTTTAGGCTTTTAATTAGGCTTAGTTAATAATGTTTTTCTTTTTTTGGTTACAAATTTGAAAAGGGAAAAATTGGGCTCTCGAAAAAAGTTTCGAAAAAGAGTTCATCGAATGTGGATCTACTTTGCTAATAAGATATATTTTGAAACAACCTCGTCGAGGACCCTTTCTTTCTTTTTCTTTTTCTTTTTTTTTTTGGCCCTTTCCTAATTTTTCTTTTTTTTTTTTCTTCTTCTTCTTTTTTTACCACCCAACAAAATTTGCAATTTTCATTCATTTGTTTTTGAAATTTTCCAACGAGATTATCGGAAATGCTGAATTCGCGAATTTTGTTTTTGTTTTCTTCAAACCTAACCTCACTTTTCGCGATAATACGCTACGAAAAACTTTATTGCAAAATCTTGAACGAGAAGATTTAATTAATAATGAAAATGAATGAATGAATGAATGAATGAATGAATTATTTATTCGTTAAATTAAAAATGAAAGCATAGAGGTATAAAATTTCAAATGAACATTTGAAATTAAATTTTTCTTGAAGAAAAAGGAACCCAACAAAAATTGACGCATCGTCCTCTCCCTTTCCCCTTCCCCTTCCACTTCACCACCCCCATCCAAAACCCCATCACCACCACATTCGTTCACCCACTCATTCTTCCACTCTCTCTCTCTCTCTCTCTGTTTCTAAAATAAATCTAATTACATTCTCGAATTGACTAGAAAGTCCAGACGCGAACGGAAAGAAGAGGGCCGTTTACAATTAGCCCTGGAGCCCTTTTGTTTGAATCAAAGGGCCTACCTATATATACGCAATCCATCGGCGGACAGGCGTGTAGCGTCACCAGTCTTCCTCCATTTTGTTTTCTTCCATTTGTTTCATATATTCTTCTCTCTCGTTTAATAATAATATTATTTACTTTTGTTTTAGGACTCGAAACAAGTAAGAAGAATCAGAATAAGAAGAAGAAGAATTAGGATATAACGGTCGGAGTTTAAATATTATCATTTAACACACTGAACTTTCATAGAAAATTCATTCTACCTTTGCTTTTTCTTTCCACCAAATTGTCTTCCCCCCCCACCTCACTCCCACTCCCCATTCCCGTCACCGCACCGCACCGAATCACCTTTTCCCTTTGAACTTCCCCCCCCCACCCCACCCCACCCTACCCAATCACTACCACCAACCAAAAACTCATCACGATTTATCCAATAAATTATTTATCATTTAGAATGTTTATACACATACACACGAGGAGCACTGTGATATTTGTCAGAGAGATTCGTCGGACATCATGGATAAAGTTTTCACTCGTTTATCCGAACAAACAACCCTGAGTCAATGTACGATACATTAATTCTTGTCACATACCGAGATTTCTTTAATGGAATAATCTTTTACGTATATATATATATATATATATATATTTGTTATTATTTTTCACTACTGCGAACTGTCCAGCATATAACAACCACCAATGTAGATAAGGATCGATCCCGGATAAAGAATAGAGGAATAAGAATAAGAAGAAAATAAAAAAGATCGAAAGAACAAAATCTGAAACGAACAGAATAAATCAGCAGTCGGTGTCATCCTCCTGATGGCGTCTACGTAATTCCAAATAACGATGCCTTGGGTCGCAGTAATGAAGTAGCGGTACCTAGACATCGGTTCCGGTGCCTTCCTGGTAGCCCTCGTCAGGTGAGCTACGTGTGGATCCTAATACGCGTTTTAGGGCGGATACAGGTGGTAATACAGGTACACCCTTTTGCCATACTCGCATTTGTTTAGCACCAGGTGGAAATTGTTCTAGCGTTGGTGCTACAACGGCTAATGTTTCCTTGGATGAGGTAGTATAAGAGTTTACTTGTAACGATGTACCTCTGCAATTATCTCTACAACCATCCCTACAACTGTTGTTACTTGTTATTGTGGTGGTGGTGGTTGTGGTGTTGTCTCTCGTTGAATTATTGCTATCCCATAGACAACTGGAATATAATATTTTACCGTCGTCTACTAATTCCATACGACCAACACCACTACCAACGTAATCACCAGCACCACCACCAGCAACACCATAAGGGGTTAAATCTTCCGTCGAGCCACGTCTAGTGTCTCTAATCAAATCAGGATTATCGATGGGCATCAAGGACGTAGTTGATGAAAAACATCCACCACCTGGTGCTACTATCAACGAGGATCTACCACCACCACCTACTATTAAACCACCACCACCACTACCACTACCACCACTACCTACTACACCAACACCACAACCACCAACACCACCTTGACGATCGTCGTATCTCGTTAATGTACTATAGTCACTTTCATTCTGGACCAGGGCAGTTTGTGGTCTTTGAACGTAACTTAGGTTCAAGGATACCGGTGGTTTCGTATCGATTCCGAAAGACGTTGTCTCGATTTCTTCACGTTTTCTTCGTGCCAAGGATGAGGTTGTTGAAGGATTTTCCGTTGAATTGATCATTTCACCGTTACCCTCACCTGACACCGTTTCGACAGGTGTCTGAGATTTAACGTCTTTCAATGGCATTCTTCTAAGACGAATGAATAATACTAAGATTATTAAGAGGATGAAGAGTATCAGGCCTACCAATGCTGCTGATATACCAGCTATCTGTCCCGATCCTAAAGTCGACATGCCAGCCGTTCTTAATGATACGTGTAACGTGAAATTGGCTTCAACGCTGCCAGCACGATTTTCCGCGACGCAATAAAATTCACTTGAGTCAGCTTCCTGTGCGTTGGTCAGTACCAATGTACTCCTCTTACGAAATTGTCCTTCCTCAAAGATCAAAACCTTTTGATAGCTACTAAACGCCGAATGATTGGTCAACAATCGTCCGTTCCAATACCATTTAACTTTAGCAGGTGGTATAGCACTGACTCTACACACTATACTTGCGTTCTCACCGATCGTAGCCTCGGCGTAATGACTGGCTATCAAAAGTACCGGACGACAGGCAAAATCATCGATCACCAGATCGGTAAAGACTCTGTCCACCAATTGTTCAGGCCCGTGACAAATGGGTGCCACCAATGTTGGTAAATTATGTTTAACTAGCCACATCTTCATTTCTCTCAAACGACAATCGCAAATCCATGGATTGTCGTGTAACTCGATGCTGGTTAGTTTGTTTAATGGATCAAACGTACCGGGATGTAACGTGGCCAATTCGTTGTTGTTCAATTTCAAACTTTCCAATGATTCCAAACCGCGAAATCCTTTGGCCTCGATTTCAATCAACTTCGTATGAGATAAATCAAGTTTAACCAAATTAGGTGTATTCTTAAATGCTAAAGAATGAATCCTTTCCAAATGATTATACGCTAACACTAGGTCACGTAAAAAGGGAGTGTTCGAAAAACTGGCACTTGGCACCCCTGATAACAAATTATTGCTTAGATCGAGCTCGACCAAGTTCGTCAGGCCGGTCAAAGCCTCCGAGTCGATTCGGTCGATACGACACTCGCGTAGATAGAGACGCTGGAGATTCGTCAGGCGTACACGTACGAAGATGTTACTCGGCAAGCTTCTTACATGGTTCCCGCTCATGTCCAACACTTGTGTCTCCGGATCGATCCGTTCTGGTATACTAGTTAAATCACGGTTTATACATTCAACCGTACGTTTACCGTTTTTCCATTTGCAGGTACACTCCTCGGCACATTTGTCTGGACTAACTAATCTCGTTGTCGCTGACATCATTATTAAAAGTATTAACAATGAACCCCTCGGCATCCTGATGAATAATCTGCTTGTTGTTGTTATTGTTTTCTTTTTTCCTTTTTGTCCCTTTTTATTCTGTCCCTCTCACATAAACTTAAACAAAATTGTTAACACTGTGAAAACCCACTTAAACGTTCAACCTCTAACACGAGGTCTTTCTACTTTAACGATCAGCACAATACGACAGAGTCCATTTTTATCATCCTCCTTTCTTTCTTTCTTTCTTTCTTTCTTTCTTTCTTTCTCTATCTATCTATCTTTATCTTCCCGTCTTTGTTCCCCGTCACTCTTAAAGGACTCTTCGGGATGATATATAAATACTGTGTTCTTCTCACGAGAAGGCTTCCAAGTTTCCTATCTATCCTTTCTTCCCCACAATTCTTGGTAAAATCTTGGCGGTCAAAGTTTACGGGATAACCTCCACTCTACCTCGAGGGAGCCCGCAGCGCAGTACCGCGGCTAATTATGCAAACGAGAGGCAAGGGATTAAACGCTCCCGGCTCGTCCATTCGTGAATCTTATTCGGTAACGCTTCAAGGATAAAAGAGAGAGACAGACTGAGAGACGGAAAGAAAGAAAGAAAGAGATAGGAAGAGAGAGAGAGAGAGAACAGGAAAACGTATCTTATTCACCGAAGGCACCACAAGACGTAATCATCCTTATCCTAATAAACCATGTACCATGTGTCACCATTTAAACAAAACTCGAACAATCGTTTTAATGAATAACGTTGAATAAAACTGTACGTCGTTGAACTGCCACACTATTTCTTTCCCCCTGATATCCAAGAATATCAGATTACAAAATAGGCCTATTAGGGTTAGGTCCACGACAATCCCAATATTCTTGATCGTGTTATGTCACACCGAGTATTTATTTTCTCTCCCTCTCTCTCTCACACACTCTTTTTCTTTCTTATTTAACCAGAATAAAATGAAAAAACACACGCGCGTTAACTCTGGATGATTTCAATGAAAATACATCGAGGACAGACCGAGAGAGAGAGAGAGGAGAGTCTTCGTCCACCGTCAGCAGCAGCAGCAGCAGCAGCAGCAGACGCGAACGCGTTCGTCGTTAAATGAGAGACTGTGAAAACCGGGGGTTCAGAACCGCTGAGAGAGAGACACCCTCTCTCTGTCTTGCTTTAACCTACTAGATAAAGATAGCGAAAGAGAGAGAGAGAGAGAGAAGGGGAGGAAAGAGAAAGAGAAAGAGAAAGAGAAAGAGAGAGAGAGAGAGATACAAGTAGACTGGGTCTCTTCGAGGTAGCACCGTCTTTGTCACACTGACGACACACATATACTATATTTCTCTCTCTCTCTCTCTCTCTCTCTATCTATCTATCTATTTATCTCTGTCTCGCTTATACCAATGCGAACGTTGCACAGTGCCAGGAGAGAAAACGCCGACGCGAAGTAGGACGCACCCTTCTTCCACTCCATAGCTGGGGTGTACACAGGTTGTGCGCAGAACTACCACCAACACCCCCACCAACCCCGATAGCAGCACCTCTGCCACCCCTACTGTGATTCCAAGCTCCGATATATAGTCTATGTCTCTTTCTATCCTTACCCCGTAAACTCACTTCTATCTATCCTCTTCTAAACCCCACCCTAACTCCCTACAATTTCCACCCCTACTTGCGAGTCTCTACTACGAGCTTGCGCATCTTCTACTTTACCCTCTCTCTCTCTTTCTTTCTCTCTTTCTCTTTCTGTCTTTGTTGTCTCTCTTTTTTACTCTCATACGTCTATACCCTTCCAGAATACCTCAGCGACGTATCGAATGCTACGTCACAGGCACAGATATACGGCTATTTCACAAAGTGGTTAAATGCACTGCCAGATTATGGGCATCAGAGAGGTTATGTTCTTTCTCTATCTATATATATATATGTATATGTCTTTTCCATTTCATTTTTTTTGTGTGTACAGAGAGAAAGGAAAAGAGAAACGTTTTACGTTGGTCGGAATGAATTTGGGTACGTGACAACGCTTGTACCTTTACTTTTCTACAAGAAGAATGCTCTTATTCCTTTGCATCCATCTTCTTTGTAATATCTCAGTCTTTCGAAGTCTCTTACATATATATATATATATATATATATATATTGTAAGAGTTTTATCATCTCTTGTGGTTCCTTTTAGTAAAGCTTTAGTTTTTGTAAGCTTTCTATAACTGGTGATACATAGAACAACACACATATACTGTGCGGTAGGGGGTGAAAGGTGGGGGGGTTGGGAGGGGGGTTTACAGCAGAAAGGTAGGGTAGTAAAGAAAGTAGGGGTAGAAGGAGTAGATGGATATGCTGGATGAGAAAAACGTGGAGGATGATGGTTTTGTTAGAGAACTACGAATTCATGCTGAAGGATCTTAATATATATATATATATATATATATATATCTCTCTCTCTCTCATCTCTGATTGGTTGTTCGAATCGATTCCTCTCTTTCTTTCTTTTTATCTCTCTCATATATAGAAAGTGTGTGTTGGATGATGTATAACGTGAAACGTGCGCATACGCACGAGAGAAAGCCCCCCCCCCTACACCCCTAACCGCCACCCTTCCAGCCGCCCTTCAACCCCCTTTTTGGATTTCTTTCTATCTTCTTTCTTTTTTCTCGGCATCAACAAAACAGAGAACAATGGTGGATCCCGCCAGTGTCCCAAGCGTAAACGCATACGTGGTGTGCACGTGTTGTTACTCAGCAGTGCTTAGGCTGGCTCAACAAAATCATTGTCTTTTTGTTTTTGAGGTTATACTTATTTTGGCGCGCGTTTGGTGAAAACAAAATGACGGGAGAGTGAATATCTTTAGGATGCGCGCGCACCGATCAAAAAATTGACAGAATGAAGTTAGTCGTTATTTACGATGCGCGGGAAAAATGATTTCAAATTAATTAAAGTAATTCGATATTATTTTATTTCCTTACATTTAATGTCGACTGATATTTTTTATATACACACCAACACGTGTTTTATAATATAATATAATATTATTATTATTATGTATAGAAAATATATAATATACAAATAAAAATATTATTTATGTATTTTGAGGTTATTTAATTGTTACATATGGTGATGATTGATATTTAAAAAACTATGAATATCTTTAGAAATTTCTTTAAAAACATTGATTATTCATGAATATTAATAATAAAAGTCTTTTTTCAGATTAATCTCGAAGTATGTGTGTATTATTATTTATTCATTTATTTGAGGTTAACTGAGGTACGTATTATTTTTGAACTTATGTATACGTTTTTTTTTTTGACGGGTTAGAGAAAAAACGATGAGTGTGAATGCTTAATTCACACCAATAGAATTTTCAATACTTTTTATAATTAAATTATATATATTAAACGTTTATAATTAGAAATGTATTTAAATTTAATTATTCGTTTTATTTTATTTTGTTACACGCCAAATGAAGTATAACATTTTTACGCGTGTACATCATTTTTTTCTGCTTTTTTTTTCATTCTCCTCCCCCTTTTCTTCTTCTTCATCTTCCTGCACAGATTTTCTCACCTTCTACTATCTCTGTTTAATTTTTTTCTCTCTTATTTCTTTTTTTCTTTCTATTTGTCAACCAACAATAAAGAAAATAACAAAAACATTTGACGAGTTATGATAAAAATTCGGTGTGATGCCAAGGGAGGGGGTGGAAACGATGAGATCTCTTCTTCGTGAGAAAACAAATGTGTCTTCATCTCTTTCGATATTTTTTCGGGGGGGGGAAACAAATCATTCGAATGGTAAGGAGACTGAGGGCTGAAGGGTGGGGGTGGAAAGTGTAAGAAATCAAAATGAAAATGAAAGATATTAGTAGAATAAGAATGTTTTGCGTGTAATCCAATGAGAAACAAAGAAGAAAAAAAAACCACCCCCGTTGTTTATTTTTAGGTTGTTCAGGTTAGAAAACTGTTCTCATATATATGAGAGTAGTATTTTCTTTCGTCACCCTTCTCGATTACTTTCTCTTCTTATTTCTTATCAACCAAGACGTTCTTTTTCTTTCTTCCCCCACCCACCCACTCCCACCCACTCACTCTCTCTCTGTTTTTCTTTTTTTCTGCTTCTTATTAAGTCTCCAAAGGGAGAAGAAAAGAGATAGAAACTTAACATTCGGCTTGTGTTACTCGGAAATACGATTTCGAACCCCCTCCTCTATCGATTTACGATAGACGACTACGACAACTGAAGAGGAGTGAACAGGCAGCAGACGTTAAAAGGAATGAGAAAGAAATAAAAGAGAACTCTGGTTTACTCCGAAAGTCGACGATGTCGTTGACTTATACTACTTCCTACTACCAACCCCCTACCACCCTCACCACCACCATTCCTTACCAACCAACTACCTACTTACTATCATATAAATGAAAGTATAGACCCTAAGACTCAGAATGTGTATGCGTTTACACAAAACTATGCTAACCCCTTTTTTTCGATCAAACTCTTTTTCATATTTGTCTATTAATGTATTAAAAGTAAATTTGAAAAGTGGGTACATGAAATAGAAAAATAGAATTATGGAAAGGGGGTAGGAGGAGGGGAGGGGGTATTCAGGGGAATGATGATATTTCGTCTGTTTTCGGTCAACGGTCATTAAATTAGAGTAATATTTACGGTAATCTGATTTTGAGATTTATTGTTCGTTTAAATAAATGTTTTTTAATGGGGGAATAAATATAATCAGATTTTGTATAAGTATAGTTTTGAAAATAATAATCAATTTTGTCAATATTGTTTGTGAAATTTGGAAGTACTGTAAATTACATTATTAATTTTTAAGCTAAATTGTAGTTAATAACTATTGATCTCTGAACACGGGTTATTTAATGGATATTTTAAGAGACTAGGATCACACTCTTCAGACTTAAAGTTTTATAGGAAGGTTATATAATAGTTTCAAATTAGATATACGAAATATAATAGAAGAATTATGAATATATTTAGGAGAATGATATGTCTTCTATATTTAAATCAAAAGACACTAATATTTATGGTAATGTAATCGTGAGTTATTGTTCGTTAAATACATTTTTAAATGGGAAATATGAAATTTTGGAAAATTATGCTTTCCAATAGTAAACTTTTCCTGGATTGTTTGTAAAATTTTAATCACTGTAAATTACATTAATAAGTTTTACCCAAAAGTGTAATTAATGGTAGAACATAGGCAATTTAGTAAATATTTAGAGAGACTACGGTCACTTCTCAGATGCAAGCTTTTATGATAGTCTCGTGATAGTTCAAATTATAAGTTTATAATAGTTAAAAATTAGATATAATATAGAATAAGAAAATTGTGAATATACGGAAGACAGATATATTATATATTATATAAGTGAGAATATTTCGAAAGGCTAGAGTCACTCCTCTAAATAAAAATTAGATATAATATAGAATAAAAAATTTGTGAATATTTAGAAGAAAGATTATTTTATATAAGTGAGTATATTTCGAAAAACTAGTCACTTCTCTAGTTAAAAATTAGATACAATATAGAATAAAGCATTTTTGAATATTCAAGAGAATACATTTTATATAAGTGAGGATATTTTGAAAGACTAGAGTCACTTCTCTAATTAAAAATTAGATATAGAACAGAATAAAACATTTTTGAATATTCAAGAGAATATATTTTATATAATTGAG